TGATCCGACCAAGTTTCCGCCTCAATTGTTAAGTGTGTCGTCCACTCCATCGATGTAGCTAGGATTGGACACCCAGGTTTCAAATAAACCTGAACAAAATGTAGCCCCTTTGAAAGAAACCCAATGCACATGATGTATTCAAATGGCTTTTCAGGTGGACCATTGCGTAATAGAAAAAATGTCTCAGAGAATCCATATCTTGTCAAATCGATACACACTTTGTCATATGAACATGCTATAAGGTCGACCATTTCAGGGAAGCACATCCATTTTGAAAATGGTGTTTTATCGTTACGACTAGGAATATACACATTTTGAATTGAATAAAAAAAATTAGACCCGTATAACTTCGTGTAAAATTTCATTTGCAACGTCAACTCTTTCAAAAGTGTGACACAGAAAAGTGGATGGTCCTCATCTAATTTACTGAGAAATCCGGATACATCCTGATAATCGCAATTACCATCATCCCCAACACTCACAATCCACTAAATGTGTTTGTGCATAAAAATCAACATTTCATCAATGAATTCAATCTCGGGAATCGATGGTGGTGGAGGGGTGGTGGAGGTGGTGGTAGAGTTGGTAGAGGTGGTTTGCTAATGCGAGCACCCTTTTGAACCCTTTTTTTTATAGATTTTGGAGTTGGCGAATCCAAAAAATACGAATCAACATGTTCAAAGTATGATGGAGACCACTTTGTTGAATTGTCATCTTGGGTCAGTTTTACCATTTTAAGGGCACCTTTGGTTTTAACCGGTTGCAAAAGTGGTTTCAAATATGTGGTTTCCGGATATGAAATATTCCTCAATTGCTCTTTGGTGGGAAACTTCATAGTATCACCTGTCTTTGCAAATTTGTCTTGGATTATTTCTCACTCGGTCTGGATGTTTTACCATCATTAATCACACCATCATCATCAAACCATAATCTTTGTCAGTGACTGTACACTTCATCCATACGTATCGGAGAATTAATCTTTAATTTTTTTGCAATGAGACAAGCACATGGAATACCATAATTCTTCCTAACTATACATCCACACTTTGTCGAATTTGTACCTGTTTGTTATAATTGCTTCGCTTTATGAAAGACAAAATTCAATGCTGAATATGCATCTAACCAATTGGGAATAGAGAATGTTGTTTTTGAATCTATGTTTTACACTGTTATGCTTCGACCAAAAGTGGTTTGCATTTCTGAATGTTGGTGTTGAAGCATTTGGTTCACATCGTCCCAATCTCTATAGAAATCACCACAACTATCACCCAACCATTTCTTCAATGCCGAATGCATTTATTCAACTCTATTAGTTGTTGGAGTACCGAGGTGTCTAACCTGATCAGTCCATGCACAAACAATCTTCTCCCTCACTTGGTCCATAATAGTACTCTCAATGTATTTTAAGAAATATGGATATCAGACACACATGCTCCTAAATTGCATTACAGAGGCAACATATATCTCTTTTGTGGATGAATTAAATATACCAGTCCATGCATCCATAATATTTTCCACCACCACACTTGGTTTGACCATTTTTTCATCATCTCCTTTGATTTGTTTGGTGCCTACAACGGGTTTTAGCCGACTCCTCACATTTTTTGTAATATGATATCGACAAATTAATGCTTATAATGTAAGAAACACATTTGCAACTGAATTCATTAGTGTGGTTTCTCGATTGATGACAATCACCTTCGACATGTTTTCTTGATCATTCAATTATGTCTTGCACACTTCCAAGGCCCATGTAACGTTGACCTCTTTTTCGGATTCCAAAAATGCAAATCCCACCGAAAAAGTCTTCTCCGTAGAAGTAACACCAACCATTTCAAGAAGCAAAAACCTATACTTGTTGGTCTTGTATGTTGCATAAATAATGAGTACAGTAGAAAATGTGTTAGTAAATAACTTAATACTTTCGGGATGAGTCCAAAATGTCATGAACAATGACTTTATCATCATATATTGCGTACCTAGAAACATAGTGGTTTTAATCTAAAAAATTCAAAAGTTGTTGCATTTCAGATCTTTGACCTCTTATCACCATGTTGTTTCTATGATGCTGATTGTGTACATGCTTGATATTTAAAACACTTTTTGGGTGTTTTCATTTCATATATGTAAGTATGTTTTTCGGTGCCACTCTGATTAAAGACATGTTTAAAACAATTTCCTTCTCCTCCGATTTAAGAGGACATATGATGGGATGACCATTTAGCTTTGTTTGCAATTCATGGTTATGTATTCCACAAAGCACATTAAATTTCCATATCTCATTGATGCTACAATATCCATGCAGTTTAAACAGACAACCACACTTTCTTGTTCTGGTGTCATCACATTTCAACTTCTGAATCGGGGGAACATACGTTCCACTTCTCTCGCATGTCATGGTTACAAATGCTTGTCTTCTATTAGAATCATTATCAGACGTTCTAATTACAATGCCAAACCCCAAATTCCTAGCTACCATGCGGACCCATTGAATCATTTGTTCGCGAGCAGTATACAATTGTTCATTTATGAAACATTGACCAACGTCTATCTTTATCACTTTAACATCATCTTTCACTTTTTCAGGTTTAATATCCTGCTTAACTTTAACTAGTTTAACATTATCCTTTGCTATATCTTATTTTACATCGTCAGATACAACTTCTTTGGGAAACATATCTAGATGAACCATATCTAATAAGAAGCAAAACAACAAAATTTTTAAAACTAGTAACAATTGAATTCATAAATACATATCTGAAATAATGTAGGTGAGTTCGAAAATGTATTTCCAAACCAGGCGACCATTTTTTCAGCTCAAACTAAAGATTAATGAAAGTAATGAAGGATGAAATAAGGGAAATTTACCTTAAATTGTAGCTTGTGATGCTCCTTTTGATGTATTAGAATGCACAAAATCTGATTTTGAATTGAAAAGTTGATTGCTAATGAGATTTTTTTCAAGAGTTTTTTGGTTACAGAGGTGTTTCGTAGTATTTGAAAAGTGAGGAAGATGATCATGCAAGGTGATTATATGCTCAAATTCTGTTGGAAATTTTCGTAAACACATCTCAGAAAATATCATTGAGTGATAAAAAAAATAAGTGTAGCAAAGGTGACTTCGGACATACATCTCCGAATTAATCCTAGGGGTGAATTCAGAGATACATCTCCAAACTAAATTTTGCCAAAAAATGGTATTTGGTGCGTTCAGAGATGCATCTTCGAATTCACCCAAGACATTTTCGGATTTTCAGAGGTGCGCTCCATATAGCAAGGATGAGATGAGAAATTGCAAAAAATTTGGGGATTTCTTAACCTGCCCCATACTTTTCTAGCACCACACGAAATTCTAAAAATGTCCCTAAAAGTCAGAAATGCATTTCCAGGACGCACCCCCACGTACAATTTTTTCGTTTTTGATATATGCCCTATTCTACGACTTAATTTATTCTGGAAATACATTTTCAGTTCCTAGTTTTATATATCACTGTTATACATAATTTGGAAACCAATACCCTTCCAAGGCTCGTAAGTGAATTCGGTCCCCTCTCCTCAATTTCACCAAATTTATTTTCTATCAAACCAAAAATAGGTGCAAAAGCTGATAATTGGTGAACCTTTGCACCTTTTGAACATTTAATCAAGTTTGTTGAGAAATCAACATTCTATTCGACGACTTTGGTTACTTTTTAGTTTTGTTAGTTTCTTTCTCCTTTTCGTGCCTCTGTCGCGACAACTGCATCGAATAGACTTTTCTTGGGCATATGAACTGTTCTTGTTTCTTTTCAAGTGAAGAGGTTGTTATACCAGAAAATGTTGAAGATACCTTGGTGTTGGAAGCCAAATTTAACTGAAGCTCGGGTTCTTGCTTTACTACAGAAGCATGTCGATTACAATTAAGTAGCAAAGCATTTGCTGAATATATAAACTAGGAATCAGAAATATATTTCCGAAATAAATTAAATCGTAAAATATGACATATCTCAAAAAGGAAAGAATGGTATGTGTGAGGGTGCATACTAAAAATATATTTTCGATTTTCCATAGACATTTTCGAAATTGTATAGAATATTCTTCACCCCTATGAAATGAGCTAAGAAATCTCCTAACATTTCCCAAATCTAATATTAAGCCCAATACAGTGCATTCTAATAAAACCCATCATCATCATCAAAAGAAGAGAAAAAAAAGAAAAGAAAAACACATCCTAAAAAAAAAGGAAAATAGATTTTAAAAATTATTATTATTAATTTAATTAATTAATCAAACCCCTACTCAATGAAGCGCAACAGCTCCAACAAAACGACATTGCATTTCGCACTGAACTCAATTCGCCGGAAAACGCAGCCGGAGTTCGTCGCTGGCCGCCTCAAACAGTACGAAGGTTCGTCCAGGTTTTCCTTCTCTCTCTTTCTAACACCAATTCCGTTCTCCTCAATTGTTACATGCGCGAGAATGCGATTCCATGATTGCGCACTAAATCTTAGGGTTTGACAATATAGAAAATTTTACAACAGTGATAAACTGATAAATATGAACAATTTTGATAATTTCCTGATTCCTACTGCACGAGTTAGGGTCTGATTGGATTAACAACTCATTTGCAGCTTATAGCACAAGTGCTTTCAAAATAAACGCTTATGAATAAGCTTGTATAAGCTATTTTTATAACAAAAGATAAAGCAAATTTAAGTTGTTTCTTTATATGCCATATAAGTTGTTTTTATAAACTATCTTGGAGAACTTATAAAAATAAGCTAAAAATATGTATGAAAAATGTCATAAGTTGTTTTGATAATATCAAACAGTGTCACCAAACAGGCCCTTAATGTATTTTGGTCATTGTATGAACTTTACATATGTAGATTTATTGCTAAAAGTTTACTTTTTTAATTCAATCATTTCTAGACAGTGCTTCACATAAGTTCACACTTATTTCCTTTATTGCAGATAGTCCTGAATGTCCTGTTATTGTAGGGTAATCATTGTTGTTAATCATGGTATGGTCAAGTATAAGTAGGAGAACCCGTCTGTTGCCGTACTTAAGGGCTTTCCGAAATTCCCCAGAATTGAGGTAATTTGATGCTTGCATTCTTTCTGAAGTTTGTGTTACTCTTTTTCTTAAGTAGGTTATTGATCAATGTTGTATTGTTGTTCAAAGGAATGATCGAAAGCATAATTTTAATTTGTATTGGTGAAATAAGAGCTTTTATTTTATCAGTTGAGGAGATTTCTTTGACAACTTCACTCTCAAGTTGTGTTTTTATTTAAATATAATGTTTTTTTTTGTTGATTCAGGGGCCGGTCTATTATTCCTGAAGGATCGGGTTATAACATAGTTAATCCTTGTTCTGGATTCCAGAGTGATTTCTCTTGTAAAATACGTCTGTCAAGGTTTAAGCAGGAATTGAGTACACTGTCATTCCATCAGTGTTACCGCTCTTCAGCTTTTGCTTCACACAATGTTGGAAGGTTGGGTTCCATACCTGGTTTTAGACACTTCTCGTCTCATGCATCTACAGAGCAAAAATCACGAAAGATGCTCATATACTTGACAGGCTTGGTCTTTGGAATGGTTGGAATGTCGTATGCTGCAGTTCCACTTTACCGGAGATTTTGCCAAGCAACTGGCTATGGGGGAACTATTACCCGCCGTGAGGTATGGGTTACTTTGTTTTTAATGGTTTCTCATTTTCTTTTCAAATTCTTTGGCAATATATTTTACATTCGTTGATTGCAATTTCCAAATTTCACATTTTTACAGAGTGTTGAAGAAAAGATTGCAAGGCATGATAGCAATCAAACAGCCACATCAAGGTGTTGTTTTTACTCCTTAGATGCCAGCTTTTTGCCGGTGGTTTGTTTGTGATATATATTTTCAGGTCGATGAATGTATGGTTATTAGAAGTAGTCTTCACATAAAATAATGTACAATGGAAGATTGACCTACAAATAAGTTTTTAAGCTGTATTTAGATAAAATTTTACTGCCTAAAACTTGCCTTTACTAAACCCACATGCATATTTCTGTTATCAGCCATAAGAGTTTACCTTTGGCATGGTCCGCGGACGATTAAGTAATGATCCAATAGAGATATGCCGACAAGGAAATATTCAATAAACCGAAATTAAGTTGACCAGCTAGCTTTTTTCTAGTTGTAATGGGTTGATGGGTTACCATTTTTTTTCCAGGGAAATTGTGGTACAGTTCAATGCTGATATTGCTGACGGGATGCCATGGAAGTTTGTTCCTACACAGAGAGAGGTTTGTCTTTGTTTAATATATCCTTAACCTTACCGCTAATATGTTGCGTTTCCATCACATAATTTAATTTTATATCATGGAACCATTAAAGTTATTTACTGGCAACTCAAAGAGGGATGGATGATGAAAGTCAAGTTAAAGTTCTTAGCTATGCTTTAAACGGAAAATGCTTGATTGTCATAAATTAATCTATTCTTTTGGGGGACAATGATATTTTTTAAATCTAACTCTTACATGCAAAATTTTGGCGGTTGTACACACCCCTTGATATCCAGTAGGGAAAGTGAAAAAGAAGTAAAGAATTGTAACATAGCATTATTCATTTGCTCTATCAGGTTAGGGTGAAGCCCGGAGAAAGTGCCCTCGCATTTTATACCGCGGAAAACAAAAGTTCTACTCCGATAACCGGTGTTTCTACATATAATGTAACTCCTATGAAGGTCTGGTTACTGAACCCTTCACTTGAACTCTTCACTTCACATATCTATCTACCGTGACTACCATGACAACCTGAGAGTTTTCTTGTACAGGCTGGAGTTTACTTTAATAAAATACAATGCTTCTGTTTTGAGGAGCAGCGACTACTTCCTGGAGAGCAGATTGACATGCCTGTAAGTAGTTTTTTCAACGTGCACTCAAGTATGCAGTAATACTCATGCATCTTGATTGTGTGTTTCTTGTATTGCAGGTATTCTTTTATATTGACCCGGAAATTGAGGACGATCCTAAAATGGATGGCATCAATAACATAATATTATCGTATACTTTCTTCAAGGTTTCTGAAGAATAATATCCAGTTGAACATTTAAAACTTAAATAACGGCGTCACTACCTTTCAAAGGGCCTAAGAACCCCGGAAGCTCATTCATGAAGTTCAAGTGTGATTTGTTTTACGATTAAACACTCAGATGTAATTTTTGAGATATCACTTTCTTCAATTTAGTCCTTAAAGTATATAAATAATGACTAGCTCCTAAAATTAGTGAAATCCATCACTTAGTTAGAGACTAGAATGATGAATTTTATTTATTTATTTATTTTCTTCAATTTCGTATATACAATAGGAACTGAATTGGAGAGAATGTGATATTTTACAGACTAAATTGATGGTATATTCTTTGTTCTACAAACAAGCCCTGTGACCAGGTTTTGAAGGTTATGTGGAATCATTTATCACCTTCCTAAATCAGTGTTGTTTAGTGTTTTAATTTACTGTGTCATGTGAATGCAACAGATACATGGTGAAGAATGTATTAGCCATTTATACACATTACTTTGTTTTTATTGTTAATTGAAAAGTTACAATCTTTGAGATATTTTGGCTATGGATGATAGAAACCAAAGAGGTATGAGATCTGGACGTTAGTTTGTTGGGCTCATATTATATATTTGATAAAATCCCATTATTTCCAATAATTTTAATTTGAAAGTTTGAGACTGTATATTAATTTTTTTTAAGCTACTGCTTTTAATATGAAATAAACTAAGGATTGTGTGGAAAGAATTGAATGATTTTAGTTGAAAGAGTTTTGGAGAGTTTGTTTTTATTTATAACACTAAAAACTCTAATTTGATGAATTCAATATTTATATTGAAGGAGGATCTTGGAGAGATTTTATGTTATAATATTATGAAAATTAAAAATATAATAATGATAAACACTCTTTTATTATTTTATATAAAATTATTTTTTCAAAAAATCAAATATTTTCCTATATTTTTTTAAAAGTTCATTTTTAGAGTCCTAAATGATGTGTAATTTTGTATTGAAGCCTAATTTTCAATTAGTTTTTGTTCTGTATATTTTTACACATATATTTGACATTAAATATTCACAATAGTTTTGTATGGTTAATAAAATGTAGTAATTCTTTATTATATTTGTTAATCATTTATATATTTAAACTACATTAATAATGTAAGTTGCTCAAATTTATGTTTCAAAATAAAATCTTTCATTGTGTTAAAGTAATTAATAGTTTTTGTTTGTAAAACAAAGTAGTCAACAAAGGGACACTTCGATAATTAACTTTTATTTATTTATTTATAAATTGGCTTTATGCCACCTAACATTCTATATACAAATCCAAAGTAGTTTAAAAACAATTGTTCCTCCTCTTTTTTCAAATTTACAACTTTGATATCCTCTTTTATTTATCACGGATTTGATCCCATTAATGTAATATTTTTGTGAATTTTGTTTGCGCATATTTTTAATCGCATTTTAAATCTTATTATGGATCACAACTATAAAAATAATTTGAGTAACTAAAAAATGATGTTTGAGAGAGATTAATAAAGTTAATTAATTAATAATGTAGAAATAAAAAATAAACGAACAAGAAACTCCGACACTATTATTTGGATTATAACTATAAGAATAATTTGAGTTGGGGTTAAGTATGTGAATTAATTAAAAAATGATGTTTGAGAGAGATTAATTAAGTTAATTAATTAATAAAGTTTATACAAAAATAAAAAACAAACGAACAACAAGATCCGGCACTATTATTTGAATTGTAAAAATTTTTTTTTTTAAAACTATCTTAATAGACTTAACAAATTAATAAGTCTTTGAACTTGAAAGATGAATTATAAGTCTTTAAACTTTATATAAAAGATGAACTGTATTTAACTAATTTTGAAAGTTATCTGTAAGAGTAAAATCACATATTCTCAGTCCTATTACTAAAGAAACTCTAGTCAATTCTCACAAACAAGTTACTCTCTTATTTACTTGAACACTAGAACATTTACGGATCTAAATGCCGATCTCTTCTTTTGTGGGTCAATCAAATTCTTTTACAGATAGCTCTTCACCTCTTCCTTCACAGCGAAATATATAAAAAATAACATCCTGTTTTTATATTTAAAAAAAATACTCAAACATGTTCTACATTTTCTACCATTAATTTTAATTTTTTTTTTGTAGTAAAACAACAAATCTCCACACAGGAGACTAATTCATTTTTGTATTGAGTTAATTGGATTAATAGAATAACATAATGTGAACAGTAGAATTAATGAGAGGATGAGCTAGAATTGCTTACTACCAAGTGTTGTATAGTTGAGATTTCATAATCATATTTAGTTAAAATGGTGTCTTTTCCATTATCAAATTTGTTAAAAGTCTTGTTGAAGGTTTTATCATGGTCATAGGATACCCCACAACTTCAACTACAAGCATTCAACTGTGTCTTGTAATAGGTTGATTTTTGATTCATAACCAAACGAATTGGATGACATTCTGCGAACCCTTAAACCGTGTGTTTTGTTTTTGTTGACGGCTTCAAGAAGAAACATTTGAAAGCTTGTTCTTAACAACCTTGTGGCCAGTGTTTTTGTTTCTTTAGTTTTTCATGAGTGTGTGTCTTTCTCTTGCCGTGGAAATGAAAATGACTCTCTCCAACTGTTCCACGTTCTGTGAGATGAAACTTCAACTTCGTATGAAAGGAAAGAAAAGTATGTAATATGTATAAGTATTCCTTAGTAAAAATACAAAACCATGGGAACTTCGATTTTCCACATGCTGTGCTAATATTTCGATTGACCTCAAACTGTATCATCATGATTATGAGATATTATCCACTTTAAATGTGAAAACTCTCACAGTTTTATTCATTAAAAAAGGTGTGTAGTTAAATTGGGGTGTTTTGATTCTTAAATAATGCGAGATTATTTTAACACAAAGAGTTTTTTTTCCACTTATATTGAACACAGCATTAGAAAGTATAAATGGAATTGAAAAGACTACTAATGCAATTTGAGTTACACAATATTGATACATGATAATGGTATCGTTGAAAGAATATTTGGGAATCGAATATGAAAACATTAATTTCTTAGAGACAAAAAAAATGAAGTTGAATTGACATATTGTAAAATATTGGATCTGAGTGATATGAGGATTAACTAACTGATTAAGAAATATAATGTGTAACACAAGTTATCCAAGGCCCATCTACCACATACAATTGATTTTCAACAAATTAAACAAGATTTATATTTGTCTCTTTGTCACTTTAAATCAACTCATTAATTGTCTTCTTCACTTTCAAGTAGTACTAATTTTTGCTATTCTACATTCAATGAACTTGGTAATAACTATAAATAAATTAATATATATAATACTACCATCCCTTATATATATATATATATATATATATATATATATATATATATATATATATATATATATATATATATATATATATATATATATATATATATATATATAACGTGAAATTTACGTCACAACATAAAAAATTATATCACAATAATTAATTTGCGACGTGAACAATCACGTAGCTGGGGAGCGGGTGACAAATATATTGCGACATGATTTTTATATCACAAAGTTGTGACGTAAAAATCACGTCGTAACTTGTTTGCACATAAATCATATAATTACATTAGAAACAGGCGTAGCAGGCACAGAAGTCAGAGCAATATTTTATTTGCCACGTCATTTTCAAATCACATATTAGTCACGTGAAAATCATATCACTAATTAATTACATTTAATACTCCAATGTTCTATTCATCTTTTGTTTTTTAATAATAAAAATTAAGTTGCGACATGATTTTCACGTCACTAATTTGTGACGTTAATTACATCTAACACTATACAACGTTCTATTAAACTTTTGGTTTTTATTAAAAAAATTAAGTTGCGACGTGATTTACATATCACAATTTTATGACATGGAAATCACGTCACTAATACTTTTTTTAAAAAAAATTTAGTTGCCGAATTTTTTATTTAATAATTAATTAAATTAATTAATAAATTCAATATATAAATTAGTAAATTAAATAAATTTAATATAATAAAATTAATAAACTAAAATTATAAATTTAAGATTTTTTAATTTAATATATTAAATAGGTTTAATTAATTAGTATGTTACACAAATTTAAATTTGAAAGTAAAATAAAAAAAATTTAATTCTACCGGTCATCTTGGTTGGTATAGTTGTCAATGTCAAAATTATCTTTGTTTCCGTCCTCCTCCGGCTCTTGACCACGAATATTTTGATTTCCACAAAACCCTTGCATAAATTGTCTCATTTGCTACTCCATATCAGCTTGCCTCTTCGCCATGACCTTCATTTTTCGCTGTTGCTCTTGCCTCATTGCCTCCATTTGGGCCTCCATTTGGATCTTCATTGTCGCCTAACGTTACGCTGACTCGCATCTCGCCTCAATTAATGCCAATTGTCTTATTGTTTCAAGTTGTTCCGGTGTCAAATTTTGTTGGCGTGACCCTCCTTCCTCATCTCCAACTCTTTGAAATAGAGTTTTATCCTCACTTCTCAAGGTGTCCGCCAAATTTCCACCACAAAAAAAACAACCTTTGTAACACGGTGGGAGAACTGACTTGGTTGTTTTGCGTTTGATCGTAATTGTTATGGATAGCAAGAGTCGCCACCGACTTTTCTTTTATCCAATAAGGAAAGGTTGAAAAGAACAGGAAAGACCTTTCGAGATTATTTCTTGAGTTCGGGGGGTAGGTTATGAAAAAGGAAGGTATTAGCACCCTTTTCATCCGTAGTTATCTACGGGCTCTTAGTTGTTTGCTAGATCACTTGCTTTTGTTTGAAAATATGCTTGTGGTGTGATTTTTGAAAGTATTTTAAAAACGTCTTTATAATGGTTCTCGTTTCTATAAGAACGCGTACAAAGTGTTGTTTTGAAAATAATTCAAAAAAGTGTTTGTGAAATGTGTTTTTGAAAGTGATTTTGAAAGTGATTTTGAAAGGTGTCTTTGTAATGGTTCTCGTTTCTATA